ATTTTTCAATTCACTAATCCTTCCAGCAGCACTGTGGCCCTGAGGTCAAGTCAACCTCTAACAGAAATGCATACCAAGAATCTTCCTGGAGGTAAAGGGTGGTCAGGCCGGCACATAAGGCTGACAACCTCACTGCCATCTGTGAGCAGACTGTCTAGAAAATGTGAGAACCTCGACATCTCACAACCCTATGGGCCTCCATAGCCTGTTACAGGGATACCTTCACCTTTCACCTTTACTGTATTTACTACCTACTACTCTGTATTTTTGAGATGGAATTTTCAAACTGCAATTGAAGTGTGAGCAATCCTGTCTTGGTTTATCACAATTCACCCCAGTTTCTCAAAGCAAAATCTGGGACAATCTTAAGATTGAACCTTCATTACTTCCTTCCCAATCCTTTCTTAACAGACATTACATTCCAGTGATTAGGACTCCAGCTTTACATTCAGGAGGCTCTGGCCTGAAATTCCAGGTTGCAGACTGGCTAAACTGATCGAGGTTTTCTTCAGGTTTTCTCACTCCCTTCAGGCAAACACTAAGATACTGCTTTCATTTCCCCCGTATGAGTTCCTTCCACACTCTGTCAAATTCACTAATCATCCTCTCTTCTTTCAAACAGTAAAATGTCTTGGATTCTGAAGATGGGAGCTTCTGGGTCAATATTCAGATGGATTAAACATAATTCCTGACAGCATAGGATGGTTGCAGAGTACACAGTATATAAATATCCCATTACATCTGGGCATTACCTAGACTGCCTTTCCATGGCCTTAATACGGAGATCTTCCCATCGAGAATTCAGGAGCCTCATCTGTACCCGCACCTCACCTTCTTCATCCCTGGAGAGGCCACCTTCAGAAAGCATACGGGCTCCTTCTTCGAGCACTGCTCCCACACCCTCCTGGTGCCCTGCCAGCTCAAGCAGGAAGGCCTTCAATGTCAAAAATAGAATTGACGTTAACAACTTGATTGCCTTATACAAACTAATACAAGACTGGCCTGTACACTATATCTGGCCTTCCTGAATACTTTAATCCATTTTGTGGCACTGTTTCCAAATATATTTTGGTCTTTATTTTACTGTAAAAGAACTGTATATGCAACAAGGAAGGGAAAACATTGATCTCACATAATTCTATCTAATCTAATATATCTACCTGATTTAATCTATCAAATCGAATCTTATCTATTCCTGTTGCTCCCAATTGGAGCATAGGCCATGTGTGAAATGCTTCCTTTCGCTTCAGTTTCTTAATCTTAGACAGTTGTTACGCCTCCTTGGACGGGGGATTAGCGTGCAGCAAGGACACTACCTACACAGGATCACACAAACACAGAATAAACACAGACAAACATCCATGTCTTGAGCGGGATTCGAACCCATGAGCCCAGCAATCGAGCGGTGATGCCATTTCATGCCTTAGACCGCGCAACCACTGCGATAAGCTCTCACATAATGAGGTAACTAAAATGACACAAGATGTATAGAAATCAATAGAGGTAATTATAAAATATAATGAAATAATAATGCAAAACTACAATATGACATAACAAGAATATTATGATATTAAATTACCCACTATGTAATTTTTACGATATTTATTGCATTGTAAGGATGGTACAGTCTATATGGTTTACCTGAAGGTCGCGGGGTCAAGTCCCGATGAGGTCATTTGATTTTTTCAATTGAGGGCACTAGGCCCTGGGGTTTACTCAACCTCTAAGAGAAATGAGTACCAGGAATTAATGAAATGATCCTGGGGAGTGAAGCCCGGCCGGCGCGTAAGGCTGACAACATTACCGCCATCTTTGAGCCGACTGTCAAGGTAATGTGGGACCCTTAACGTCTCACAACCCTATGGGCCTTCACGGCCTGTTACAGGGATAGCTTTACTTTACTTTTACCTCATGGATCTACACATCCACCCCCCCCCTCCATATGTCTTCATGGGGTAGTACTTAAACAGTTAAACATAGGGACAACTTTATCTTACTGTACATACTTTAAAAAAAGATTTTCATTTGGAACATATTTTCTAAACGCAATCAATTTAATTTTGAGCGTTAAGGCACGTCCACATTACTCGTGCTCGTGTGACTCGCTATGCTCACGAGTAATGTGGGCGATATGACAAGTCACGAGACAAGCAAATTTTAAATTTTTAATTTAAAAACTATAGCCAATAAATTAAAATATGACTAGAGCCTATACACACTACGAGTAAATATACGGATCCTCACAGGCCGAAGCCTGGCGAGCAACTGAAGAAGAGTGGATGAATATTTATGGGCACCACTAAAAGCCAGATGAGTCTCCGGACGAGCACAAGCCTGGCGAGCACGAGCACGAGCACAAGTAATGTGGACGCGCCTTTACAGTGCCAACCAGCAGAAACATGGTGGGCATACTATCGCATATAATTGTTCCTAGTTATTAACTGATGGTAAATTAAAAAACAAAACATATTTGTATTTTNCTTTAAGGCAATCATTGTAACTTCTGTAAAGTCCTTGGGCCACATACTTGTATCTGGTCTATAATGGAGTTAGAAAATTGTCTGCTTGAAATTCTCAATTACACACAAGTAAATAGGATGAGCCAGACAGAATTTTACTACCAACAAAATTAATGCTGCTTATAAGCAATTAGACCTGCAGTCATTACCTCATGGGTGTGGAACTGCTCCTTGATGGACTCCAGCCCACCTTCAATAACCGACGAGTTACTGAGCTTATCTTCAGCCTCCAAAAGCCATGTGAGTACCTCCTCTAAGGCGACTTGGTAACCACCAAGCTCCACAGAAATGTTCGTGGCAATGCTGATAGGACGAGATGATGGGACACTATAAACACCTCCCTACAGACACAAACAATATTCCTGTATCTCTCAGCAACAAAAAGACACAACTATCTATACGATTTACATGCTGTTTATCACTGCCTACATTAAAAAAGAACTTGATGGTAAATGAACTGATTAGCAAACAAACTAATGGAGGTGGCGGCTTTGATTAGCGAGTGAGTAATCAAGAGACAAGGGTTAGTGGTGGTGGGTGAGCAAGTGGGTAAAGAAACGAAGTGAATGAGTGAATGGTCGTTATTTGATTAATGACTCAATAATTGAGGGCACAAATGAGTGGGTGGCCCTGTCAGTAAATGGGTAACCAATGGAATGAGCGAATAGGTAAGCAGGTACGAAAGTAACCATGTGATTGAGTGAGCGTGCAGGTAGATGAATGGGCAACCAAATTAATGGGTGAGTGGGCTGTCAGTGAATGGTTAACCAAGTGAACAAGTGAATAGGTGAACAGGCAAGAGAGTAACCATTTGAATGAGTGAGTGAAATGCTATGTATATATCCATGATACTACAGAGAAAAAACTCAATTGAAGTGCTTCACCTAATTTACAGAAATAATTCAGAAATAAAATTGAACTGGTAATTGGATTTACTGAACATCAGTAACTCATAACTACAAAGGATTGCACCTCTCTCACTAATCTACACATTCTACAGACAGCCAACCATGAACTGCACTGCTAACCGCCATCTCAGACCTCCACCTCAAGAATAACTAACTCATCCTGTTGGTCCTCATTATATAAGCCTTGGTAGGGAGTTAAAAGAGAACACCACTTCCAACAATTCGTCCATTGTTGAGTGACATGTTAACGGAGCTGTTGCCTCACAATGGTCAAAGCATTGTTGACATAGGACAATGTTTTGGTTTCCATGGAAGCATGTTTACTGGCAGTTGCTTAGCAATGGACAACTTTTCTGGGTTCATTATTTCACCTTTCAGCCATCATGTTACAATACTATAGAAATTAATACGAAATCTTTAATAAAAGTTATTATTTGTTACAACATAATTAACGAGTTTTACCTCTGCTCCTGGAGATGCTATCGAACTGGAGTCAGACTGTATCGAGATGTCTAAATGGCTCAAATCCATCTCTGAATGCGGCAAGGATTGGAAGAGGCACATCACGTACATCATGATGGACTTCTTGTCAGGTACAGATGTATTCACATCTGAGTGAAAGAATATATTCAAATAATGCAGTATCTGAAGACACTAAGTTCTGGTATTCATTACTGTAAAAAATAACTCTGCACTGTGACAGGTGACATGTCGACTCTGTCATGGAGTCGGAGTCGGAGTCAGAGTCGGAGGAGTGGGAGTGGGGGTTGGAGGATTCAGAGTCGGAGTTGGAGGATTCTGAGTCAGGGTCAGAGTCAGAGTAAGAGTAAGAGGAGTCAGAGTCGGAGGAGTGGGAGTGGGAGTTGGAGGATTCAGAGTCGGAGTTGGAGGATTCTGAGTCAGGGTCAGAGTCAGAGTCAGAGTCAGAGTCAGAGTAAGAGGAGTCAGAGTCGGAGGAGTGGGAGTGGGGGTTGGAGGATTCAGAGTCAGAGTTTGAGGATTCTGAGTCGGGGTCAGAGTCAGAGGAGTCAGAGTCAGAGGAGTCGGAGCCAGAGGAGTCAGAGCCGGAGGAGTCAGAGTCGGAGTCGTCAGTTGGGTCAGTTAGTTGAGATAAAATCACAGCACATCACCAGTGAATCAGGACTAGATGTACAGTCTCCAAAACACTGAAGAATCTCTGGATGCATCACCTTCCAAACTTATGCTCACTTCTTCTGTACAAATTCATATACTATTTCACAAACAACAATTTACCTTCAGGATCCAATAGTCTCTCAATCCCTAAATGCTCTTGTGCTACACGGAATGCATGCTCCAGTCTTGCATTTGGATGTTTCCTCGCAATGTTTTGAAAATCAAACAACTGTGACATCCAGTGATGAATTAATGCATTGAATGCCAATCCATCTGACCATGATGTAGTGAAGTTCTTCACATCTACACCAGGATAATCCTACACAAAACACATATTTCACTATCATTACTAACAATAATTTCATGCCAAAAGTTTAATGAAGAATAGAAAATGAAATACATATAAATAAGTAAATAAATAAGGTAAAGCAAAGCTGCTCCTCAAGCTAAGCATGAAGGTGTGGATATACAGAGAGGAACCTACTCACTTTTTTAACTTCCCAGAAACAGTGAACTATATGACTGCTTTGTTTTAATGTAAAGAAATCATTATCTCTGCCAAGAATGAGAGAATCAGGTTCACCTTTATAAAGGAGCATGAAAACCAAACTACTGGACAGTGCTCAAATGTTCATTGCAGTGATACAGGTACAATCAAGTGCAATCCTAAGAACGCTCATTATGATCCTTTGGCAATTGTATGATGGGATTCAGCTGATTTCCTCAAAATGGAACTGGCTTTTTCAGCTACAGTGAGTTTCCTAGACATGAAGCAAACTCATGGCAGTCTGCCTGACTTGACACAAGGTGCATCCAACTGTCCAACCTGAGTCCATGCTCACAAAGACACTCATTGTAGCAACAAGACAAATTCAAAGGCTGTCACAGAAAAACTTGGCAGACACAAAAATTTTGTTATTTATCTCTGGAATTTCTCTTCTGACACTTATAGACATATCTGATGGCCACACGTAAAGTCACTGGCATATGGAAAATTAAAACCAACAGCCTGCATTACGAATTACTTGGATTTAATGCAGAAGATTAAATGTGAGCTACATAATGTACTATTCCTTCCTCATTTTCAAGTGTGTATATAGACAATGTGTATAAATCAGGTAAAGATCACATTGGCCCTGAGAATGAAAGAAATATTTTCTCCAAAATACTGCTACCTATCCACCAAAGAACACAGTTATCAAAACCCAGGAGTCCATAATCTTAAACTGCAAACTATTCAGAATTATCCTGCAAGACGAATATATCAAATGAAATGCACACCATCTGTTTTATACAGACCATAAGTATGCAAATGAGCCTGACCACAAAACTATATATAAGTCATTCAATACCATCAATACTAAAACACAATTTATCAATTATTAACTAATTTTATAGTTACAGAACCTGAAAGAAAAACACTACTTATATCAGAGCTCAGCAATGGACATATCCTAACCCAGATAAACTGCTTAAACCCTCACAACCTGATCCTGAGATAGTTCAATCCATGGTCAGATATGAAAGGATTCAATCCTCTTCAGTCTTTGAGGTGTGTGTGTGTGTGTGTGTGTGTGCACGCGCGCACATGCATGTATGTGTGTGTGTGTGTATATAGGCACTCACATACAGGAACTTTTGCGACATATTTATTTCTTGTAATATCTTCTCAACCAGTCACAGTGGCATTAACTCTCTTCGCCCAATCAAACAATGGGGCTGTGGAATCGAATCCTACTCGAGTCATGGATGTCAGTCTGCGTTTATTCTGTGTTTGTGTTGTCCGATGTAGTTAGTAACCTTGCAAATGGGCTGATCAACCGCCCAAGGAGTCCTACTGACTGTCTATAAGATAAAGAAATTGAAGTGAAACAAAGTGTTTCACAGATGCCCTGTGCTCCAAAGGGAGCAAACAGAATGGACGGATGAACGAACGAATGAATGAATGAATCTCCTCAAAGATACAAAACAGAAAAAAGTTTTGAGGCCTGTTAGTTTAGGACTTTCTTAAGTTCATCACTTACCTTTGTGTTTTGCCGACACCATGCTAACAATGTCTTCTCCAGATTTGTCTGCTGCAACTCCGACATTAAATCTTTCAAGTGATAATGAACCTGTAACATTTTATTTCATTAGACAAAACTATAATCGCTTAAGAATGGAACAAGGTTAAAATGGCATATTCTAACATATGGCATCATTTCTAAATTCATCAAACATTTATACCTTGTGGGCAGAACTTCTAACTAGAATTCATAGGCCTTCTTATGGTCCAAGAATTTCTCTAGAGTTTCATATTCTTTTAAAAACTACTTACTTTCCAGTTTCAATTTTTCCCTCAAGAGCAATAATGTGTAAGAATGGACTACAGTGAAATAAGTAGAGTGTGACAAAGCTCCTTATTTTAAATGTATAGTTATATTAATATTTGGTATTAATGTACAGTGTGGTCACATTTTATGTGAATTTGAAATAAAATATTAATAAAGTCTCACTTTATGTTCAAACTTTGAAATAATGTAAGTCCCAAAAAATTCAGCAAGAATCATGATGATTTTTCAAAACATGTCTTGAATTTTGCAATGTCTTCAGGAATGCATCCCTCGCATAAACTACAACTGCACTGTAAATTACAAACTACTTATTTAGGTTAGGTACTTTTAGACAAAGTTTGTTTCTACAAGCAAAAAGTATTGCACATGCATACAAATGATTTTTTCAAGAGATTTTATGTTCCAAATTCATAATCATGATGATAACCACAATGACTTCCAGCTGAAAGTTCAATGGGCTTTATACTAGTAATCACAAACGTGAAAGTACGCACCTGCCAATGTAAAATGATGCTCCACACCAGCCCTAGCGTCAGTTTGGGGTTGCCATCCACTATGTCATTATTACTTATGTTCACCAACTTTACCTGGTGCATTACATGATATAGCAAACACGGCAAGCCAGTCAACAAGAAGCAGTCATGAGACAGTGAACGGGCATGGAAGGTAAGGAACATGAGACAGAAATATGCAAAATTAGATCATCAGGTTTATTACAAACAACACAAGTGTAAAGTAATGTCACACTATTGGCAATATTTTAAAAAGAAACATTATTTCTCATTATTTTGTTGATTCTTTCTACCACATTGTCAATCAGTGACATTACTAATACTACAGTATCAAAACACTGCCATAAACTTCTAGATTGAATGTACATCACTTGAAAACTTTACACAATACTGCTAAAATTAAGATCATCAGAAGTTCTACAGCAAGTTTTACCAATTATGAGGTTCCACTTCATTGAACAGCATTCTATACTTACATACAATGTTGATTTCTAGATTACAGCTATCTGGTTTAGCTACTGAATGCAGTTCAGTTCACATCATGTGAGAGGCAACCTAAAGCATTCCCAGTAATTCATCCATATACGGAAAGCAATTCCATAAGAAGAATATATACTTTGTTAATTTATTTTCTCTCTTTTTCATGTACTTTCTATACATACAAGGTGAAACTTATGACCTGAATAGAAAATACAGATTTCAGAAATTACAACATATTTCAACAACTTATTCTGTACAGAAATTAAACACATGCATAACTCAAAATAATCCCCCTATTCCCAATTCATTTTACAGAAAGCCAGTTGCAATGAATAAAGAACATCAAATATGATGCTTATGCATACAGGCAAACTTCATAAACTCTTTTTCTGGAAGACACTTTGGAAGCTTCCTTAATGACCTACAAATATGATGAAGTAATAAGAATTTGTTATCCGAGTGACAGGAAGCTGGAACAGCTGTCATTACAGTTACAGGCTACAGGCTGGATGGCCAGGGTTTGATTCCTGGAAAGGGCAAAGAGAAATATGTCTTTGCTGTATCATCCAGGCTGGTTCTGGGGCCCACACAGGCTCCTATCCAATGAGCACCAGGAGCTCTTTCCACAGGGTTAAACTGGCTCAGGGCATAAAGCTGACCACTCACTTCCATCCAGTGCCATGATCAAATATGATGGAGCTATACCTCCACTCCCACATACACTTTCATGGCATGGTGCTTAATTAATTAAGCACAGGAGTGTGTTTACTTTTTTTACGCATATCTGAGTGAGGAGGAAGTCCTCACAACCACCAGTGACAGTGATGATTGCTTTCTGACTGTAGTCTGGTCAAACATGACCAATATTTCAGGAAGGGCCTGTTGCCTCCACCTTCAGCGTAGACAAGTCAGCATAGAAAAGCTTGCTTGGAGGAGGAAATTCTCCAAAACACTGGCAACATTCTACCAGACTATATATCATCACAACCCACAACATAGCAAGTTTTATCTGACATCTGCTGGTAGCATCTGAAAACAATGTTCTTGTGATTTTGCACAGATAGACCATTGGAATCACACTGGGGATGTGATGTTAACTGTTTTGTTTCCCTGACTTACAGACATGTTGCTTCAGTCAGCAGTGCATATGGCTCTGCAACGGGAACAGTGAAATTGGGAGCAGAATGGATGGTCATTAATACTAAGCTCATTGGTCCACCTACATATAAGCTAGTGTTAAGAGACAAGACACTAATCCCTCAACACCCAATTTCAAACACTCACTGCAGATAAACTCGCTGCAGATGGTATTTTTATTACACTTTTATGTATGGTAATAAAACTCAAATAGGTATAAACAATGATTGTTCTTTTCAAACAGTAACTTGTCCCTTCTATCATTTTACCCTCAAGATCTAAACATATGTGACTTAAATTTTGACAAGTTTTCTTCTATACATCAAATGTTTGCCAGCCTGCATACTGGTTGAAACGAAGCACTGGGTATAGAATTTCTTTACACCATTTAACTGTATTTCAGTCTTAAATTACTGAAAGCCATACAACGTTTTATAAGATAACATGGATATTACAAAATATTAACATGAACATGAAGGCTGTGGTCTTCTGGGATGTGACATCATGTAGCCTGGCAGAGTTACCAACATTTCAGAGGAACCTTCTGCCTCTGTCTTCAAGGTGGAAGATGGAGGGAAAGTTCTTCCAAAGAACAATGGCAACAATGGTAACAATGTGGCACCATATCCAAAAGGCTGTATTCTTATTGGTATTTATTTTCATGGATATATTTCGTATATTTCACAGATGAACTTGTGTAAAATATACAGAACTTCTTCTGAGTCATTATACTTACATTGTTCTGCTCCAAAATTTGCAGTGCTTTGTTGACATTGTTCAAATGGTGTACTCTCATTCGCCCCCTTTCTCTTTTCTAAATGGTAAAAAGTGAAAAATAAAATTAAAAACATATACACCCTCACAGACATAAAAGAACTAGTATCGAATGTTGTTGGTTCCACCGTCACATGCAACACGTCTTTCTATAAAACTTACTAAAAGTCATCGAAACATCACATAGCTTTTAACTTTTATTTAAAGGTTTTTCACTGCATGTTTTGACCAATATTGTCATCATCAGCTGTTTAAAATTATTGTTGAGGAAACTGCTGTGCTTCTGTTATCGTGCCTTTGGTTATTAACATGTTGTCCCCTCTATGCATATACATATCTGTAATATGTATAAATATCTTCTATTAGAATTTATGTATATGATGTGTGATGTGAAGCAGGATGCCACAGTATAATATTGTAACGTGTTTGGAATAGGCACTCCCATGGTAATGCAATAACAGTAAGCCATTGTGTAGGGAACACCAAATCAATCTCCACGGAGATGAACAACCAAAGACTCATTGCTGTCGATAGAGTAGCAACAGAACTATAAGGAATGATGTCTAGTAAAAACAACTACTTTTAACTTCACATTCCCTCCTTCAATCTCTGGCATTCCCCCATACCCTCTGGACACAAATATTTGTTATAACCACATAATAACCTGATGCTGTTAATCTGTTCAGGACAAACAATAAATACACTCATGTCTACCCAGCATGTCTGCTGGGTCAGCCCCACACACACTTGTTTCCAGTTTGTTCTACTTTCTTCATCAACCCACTGCTCAATATATTAATTTTGTATGTTCTTTGAAAATATGAACTTTCATGCTCCTGTTCAAACAAGCTGAAGAGATGGAACAAAATTGAGAAAATAACAAGAAAAACTCTAAAATCTGAAATACTGACAAGTCTAATAAAAGTTTGTGACAAAGTTGTGTTTACAGTAACCCATTTACTGGCATCAGTTCATTTCGTTTACAGAAACATGTCAGTTTTAAAGGCACTGGGTCCATCAGACAGAGCTAAACTGTATCTTCCATCTAAGGACCCAAGAATAAATTTCATTCTTTCATCTGATTAAGGAAGCAGAGCCAGCCTTAAAAACAAATTATTTTTGTAACTTCAATAAGGCAAAGAAAGATGTTCAGGATATGTGGCAGGTGAAATATTAATTTTAAAATATCTGGTTTGGGAAGGAGAAAGGGTTAGGAAGTAATCTCCCTATTTCGTCAATTCACTGGTCCCAGTAGATCCATCAATCAATTATCACAGAAGCATACTCCTTCACCTGCTGTATTCCCAAATGGATCTCGATGAGCAGAACTTTTAGAAACTGAGATATAGCTTAAGGATCACTCTCTGCCATCATACTTGCTATTTAGGGTGAGCTAGGCACTACAATCTAATGTACCATACAATTACTAAACTGAATCATGAAACACTTTTGACACACAAACAGATCATATAACTTACAAAATAAGGATTCACAAGGATACTGGAATTAAAATTTAAAGAAAACAGACCTATGGAACAACCCAGAAAAAGGTGGTTTAGCCAGATACTGCAAGACATAAATAAGCAAAGAAAAGAAAGCTTGCAAGAATTCAGAATGTTGTTGGAAGAACAAAAAGGAGATTGAAGACCTTTCATCCACCAACTACAAAACAAAAACAATGAATGATTGAATGAGGGGTGGGCCATAACAATTTGGCCCCTGCACCGCGACCTTCAATTATCTATCGTGCTTCCTTCTTGATTAACCCTTTATCAGTCTTACAATTCTAATGAAATGTATGACTCTGTATATGGGGGTACCATAGTAGTCACGTGGTCCATAAAATCTGGACCAGGTAATGAAATCTAAAATAAGATATGAGCTCACAATCACATAGGATGTGTGTGGCTGATTCATCTTTTCCAGGCACCCTTCACAAGTAGGGTCATCTGTCAATCCCAGTTTGAAAAGGTGAGGTGTCCTGTAAGTAGTCCTGCCACCCATCTTAACTGGTCTCTGTTTAATTTTAACAGATCCTTCGTTCTTCTGGCAGAGGGCCTTAGTATATAAGTACAGTTCCTGATTCCCAATGTTTAACAAGAAGAAAAAAGAAAACTCACGTATTGTTTTCCTGTGAGCAGTTCCAGAAGTGACAACAGGCGGTTACCATCCCGCAGGTCTACAAACAGGTCAGTGACTGGAGGTTGGGAACTCTGTAAACAAATGTATGACATATTACTTCCTGACACACTTTCATTATGGTAATTATTCAGAAAATTGTTTGGAACATGAGAATCAACATGTTAATTATTCAAAAAACTGTTTGGAACATGAGAAGAAACATGGTAATTATTCAAAAAACTGCTTGGAACATGAGAAGCAACATGGTAATAATTCAAAAAACTTTTGGAACATGAGAAGCAACATGGTAATTATTCAAAAAACTGTTTGGAACATGAGAAGCAACATGGTAATTATTCAGAAAACTGTTTGCAACAGTCAGAGTCACAGTTACTTTACGACTGGCAGTTTACCGCCAATCAGTTCGTCTTGGCATCAGGCCCCTTGAGGCCCACGACCAGAGATTTTTTTTTCCAACTGAACTCTTGCAGTAATAGTCCTTATGTAACATCCTCTCTGATGAGAAGATGGGTCTGTCTCTTGTAAATACATTCGACCTTTCATCAAGTGTATATTTCACACACATATAATGTTATCAAAAACTCTTCCTTTTGCTTTACACACAAGTCCTCTGTCAGTACAGGCTTTACAGAGCAGATCATGCATAACTTACAGATCTTATGCTACAACGAATACTTAGTCTTTTGAACGGTCAAAAGCTTGACCACCGCCACGTTTAAGCCTCTTATATTTTCTGTGTCCAGCTTCACCTTGTCCTATACCGCGAACATGTTCATTATCATGATTTTGTATGACTTCTGCTTGTTGTCTGCACAATTTTGTTATATAATTGTATACATATGGAAAGTTGAAAGCCGTGTTCAAGTCGCGGATTGATGTGCACCTTGGAAAATTTCCAATGGTGCGCAAAACCTTGTTTTGCATGCACTGCAATTTTAGGAGGTAGGTGTCTGCCGCTAATTCCCAGGCAGGACAAGCGTAAGTCATTACTGATCTGATCAGTGCCTTACAGAGGGACAGTTTAATGTTTTCGTTTAAACACTCACTTTTGAATAGGGAGTAGATTCTAATAAATGTTCTGAAGGCCTTGGCTTCAATCATTTCTATGTGAAGTCTCCACGTAATCCTCTTATCGAAGATCATGCCCAGGTACTTTACATGATTGACGAAGGGGATATTCTGCCCATCCAATGTAAGATGAGTCTGAGGGAGCCTAAGTCTATGACAGAAGTAGATTGCCTGAGCAACATGAGAAGTAAAGTGGTAATAATTCAGAAAACTGTTTGGAACATGAGAAGTAACGTGGTAATTATTCAGAAAACTGTTTTGAACATGAGAAGTAATATGGTAATTATTCAGAAAACTGTTTTGAACATGAGTAGTAATGTGGTAATCATTCGGAAAACTGTGTGGAACATGAGAAGTAATGTGGTAATCATTCGGAAAACTGTCTGCAATATGAGAAGTAACATACATTTCGGCATTTACTCCAAAGCGCAGTTTTGGGTTGACAGTTGTCACAGTAACTCACAAACTCTCCAGCATATAAAAATACTCTCTCAGGAGTCAATTCCTTGTGCTTTAATAGGTTAAAGAGGAAATAAGATTTAAATGCTCACCTTTAGTAGCTGTGAATTAATCCACTTGGCAAAAGTTTTCTTCTGTACATCTTCTCGTTCATCTGCAACAAGAGAAACTAAACTCAATACGACAACACTGAAGTTCATAGCAGAATCATCATATCATGTCCTTGACAATGCCACACAGTAATAAGATAGAATGCAATAGCCACTTCTTCTTCCCGCGTAAATTGGCGAGCGCAGAGCATAATCATGAGATATCTGATAAGAATGAAAATCGGATATAGATGACAACAGAAAAACAGTACACTGAAGGCGCGTATTCTGGGATAAATACATTTCTGACGTTTCAGGTTGACCATGAATATGGAAATTATTTTCTCCTGATATGACTCCTTGAAGTCCGATAAAATGGTAACGACGTTTCGGAAGAATCTGCTGTCTCCATCTTCGTGGCCAAATAGTAAACCAAGAAAGCAACAAGCTTGTTTGCTTGCTCCATTTACTCTTCGACCCCGAAGATAGAAGCAGCATGTTCCTGCGAAACATAGATAAAAGTCTATCGCACTATAAGGCATGACATCCCTGAAGACAGCAGACCTAATTCTCATCTAAAGAATATTTCAAAATTCGGATCCTACATTACAGAGACGAGCAGCCTGGACAGCTCAGTCCGTACAGCGATGGGCTACATGCTGGACGGTCGGGGTTCGATTCCAGCCAGGTGCAAGATATTTTTCTCTACTCCACAGCGTTCAGGCCGGCTCTGGGGCCCACTCAGCCTCCTATGCAACGGGTATATGGGGATCCCTCTTCGGGGTAAAGCGGCCGTGGCGTGAAGGTGACCACTCCCCTCCAACTACTGCTGAGGTCAAGAATTGTGAAACTATGTCTCCACTCCCACATACGGCTTAATGGCGTGGTGCTTAATTAATTAAGCACAGGGATAACGTTAACTTTCTATCTCGCAGAAACACGCCCTTCTTCACTATAAACATCAATCGGATAATTCTGCTTATACGGAAAAATCACTGCTTGAGGAATTAGCCAAGCAGTAGTTAGCTAGTTATTTAGAGAGGGTGGGTTTCCCCATGCACCGCGACCAGTTTGATCTATTGTGCTTCCCTCTATGATATTCTACCAGTCTCTATACCCTACCGATAAATGGTGCGTACCATCAGTCCCGCCGAGCAAGCGAGTTCGGCCACTTGCTTAGCGGTGTCTATAATGCTTCCCCCATCTATCAGAGGCCTTAGAGACTATTGTTGGGCGGGAAACGTCCTGGAATTTGGCTGTGATCCCCTTTGGGGATATGAGGTTCTTTTACGTGCCGTAAAGTTACGACACGGGACACACAGCTTAAAGTCCCTCCCGGAGGACTTGTTCCCTGAATTTTTCCACGACCTCCACCGGGTATTTGAACCCGCGTACTTCGAGTCATGAGGTGGGAACGTTACCTATAGACTATGGAGGCCGCTTAGCCAAGCAGTAAGTTCTTCCGAAACGTCAGGAAACTTCTACCAGACGGCACGGCATCACATCCTAGAGAACAATACTCTTTATCACATTATTTCGATGAATTTCATGCTGCAAACAGTTAACCAAGACGTTTAACCGCATACCTCGTACCATACGTCATGCTGTCTCAGCACCTGACGCACTTGGTTGCTAGCATCTCTGCACTCATGATGCACGGCGCAAAAGTAAACTATGACAGGTCTGATCTGTAGGAGGGAACACGTGATCTAGCACATACTTCAGACACATGAGTACCCGCACCGGAGATAATCTCATAATCTGCCATAAACCGCGGATCTATCTCACGAATAAGCTCAAGTGAAATAACCACTCTTCATTTCCAAGCCCGAAGAACAACGTTTGGTTCATACTCCATAATGGCTTTAACAAAATCTAATCCACTTCAATCTCCCTAACCAACCACCTAAGTCTCTCTTGAGAATCCAATAGTTTCTCGCCTACTTCAGAGAATTCCTGTCCTTTACGGAACCCTAAAAGTTCATTACGCTGGTCACGGTAGCCGAGCGGTCTAAGGCATGCACTGTCTTCTCCCTCTCGGAAGCCGGGATCGTGGGTTCGAATTCCACACAAGGCATGGATGTCTGGTATGTGTTTATTCTGTGTTTGTTGTCCTGTGTTTAGGGAGAGGCCTTGCGACGAGCTGATCACCCGTCCAAGGAGTCCTACCGTCTGTAAAATGATCAATAAAACTAAGAAATCAGCCCTGTGCTCCACAGTGGGAGCGAGAGGAAAACAAAAAGGTTCATTACTGTCATAACACCCTGTCGTCACTATTGTGGGCCAAAATCATCTAATTCACACCCTCCCATTCTATGTCTTTAAGAACCACTTTATTACATTCCCATCTATAACTAATTATTTCAAACTGTCTCTTTCTTTCAGGTTCTCTAACCAAAATTTTGTATACATTTCTCTCTTCTCCCACACGCGCTGCATGCTCCTTCCATCCTCGTGATTTCATCGTTCTAATAATATCCGGAGAGGAATATAAATTAAGTTCCTCAGTATGCAGTTTTCTTCCACACTCCTGCTGACTCCTGCTTGGGCCCTAATGTTCCCCTTAGCAGCCTGTTTTCAAATACCCTCGCTCTATAATATTATCTTAATGCAAGCGTCCAAGTTCCACAGCAAACAGGACAAGCAGCAACCACAGCTGGAAATGCGGGTAGATGCAGGTAGATGCCATATGCTCAGTTCCCGGGCCTTGTGATGCCGTAAATACCATTGCCAGCATCGATATATGTAGGAATGGAATCATGAACCTGCACTGCAATAATTTCCTTCTAATACGTGTTGTTCATTTCCACCGGCTTTTCTAATGAACAGCAGCGTCTGCCTAGTTCTGCCTAATTCTGAACTGCAGCGTCTGGCTAGTTCTGCCTAATTCTGAACTGCGGCGTCTGCCTAGTTCTGCCTAATTCTGAACTGAAGCGTCTGCCTAGTTCTACCTAATTCTGAACTGCAGCGTCTGCCTAGTTCTGCCTAATTCTGAACTGCAGCGTCTGCCTAGTTCTACCTAATTCTGAACTGAAGCGTCTGCCTAGTTCTACCTAATTCTGAGCTGAAGCGTCTGCCTAGTTCTACCTAATTCTGAACTGAAGCGTCTGCTCAGGTCTGAACTGAAGCTTCTGCCTAGTTCTGCCTAATTCTGGCCTGAAGCGTCTGCCTACTTCTGCGTAATTCTGAACTAGAGCGCCTACCTAGTTCTGAATACAACGTCTACGTATTTCTGCCTAGTTCTGAACTGCAGCACCTACACAATTAGGAAGCCATTTCCGTCCCTGGCAACAATAAATGTACACTGTAAAGAACAGACCAGTTCTCACTTACGTTGCGCACAACTAACATGACGACAGCAAAGACTCATGCAGATGGCCATGAATTCATCGTTTGCGTACATGTGTCACGATCCTCCGCAAAAGGCCTCACAATCTCCGATCACTAACGTGTCGTTAACACAAGCTACGGCGTCATATCACACGCGCCTAATGTACCAATCTTTCAAAACTAAACTGCATTCTTATCTCATTGGTAGTGATCCTGCCGTTGTGGGAGTTCGAGTCTCGATAGGGTCAAGAAATTTCTCTTGTCCACGTCGTCCAGACCGATTCTGAGGCCCACACAGGCTCCTACTCAATGGGTACAGGGGGCGCTTCACCCGGGGGTTAAGCGGCCGAGGCGTGAAGTTGACCACTCACCTCCAACAATACATGGATTTATACATCCACTCCCCCATACGTCTTCATGGCACAGTGCTTGGTTGAACACAGGGACAACTTTACCTTTAATGCATTACTAAAGATAATCTACTTCTATGAGATAAGCCATCTTGCTGTAAGCACGCTTTCTTCATTTGTGTGCAATTCAAATCTGGGCTGGCTGTAGATTTATTTTTGTCCGACTGTTTTGCTGTTCGGTGATCAAACTTTAAGTTAAGTTCGGCGTCCATTAGTTTGACATATTCAAGAGTACTGACATAGGCCAAACCTGCCCAAGTTCGTAATATGACACTCTAAATTTGTCACACACTGGGAAAACAAAAATTTGCAAGGATAGCTCAGATGGTACAGCGACGGGCTACGGGCTAGGCGGCCAGGTTTCAATTCCCGGCACGGGCAAAAGACTGTTCTCTTCTCCATACAGCCCCGACTGGCTCTGAGGCCCACGTAGTCACCTACCCAATGGGTGCAGGGGGGCCCTTCCCGCAGGTAAAGTGGCCGGGGTGTGAAGGTGACAACTCACATCAGTCTACAGTCGAGATCAAGAATGGTGGAACTATACCTCCATTCCCCCATACATCTTCATTGTGCGCTCCTCAATTAAGCACAAGGAAAAGTACCTTTACCTTTCACTGGAAAAACAAAACTGCGGAAATCATCCTCTAACTTCGTGACGAATTTTGAATCTTGTACGGCGAAACTGGGCAGGCACGCGTCATTACTGAACCATTTTCTTCCTCATAATAAACTGATGGTTCGAAACTCGGCTGGAACACCGGTAATTCTGATGCTTTTATTTTCTTCAGTCCCTCCAAATGAGGTCGTAACCGCTTCCTTCCGAATCCTTTCAACTTCTTCGTCTATTTAACATGTTACAGTTCAACGCCGTGTAGTACGAGACAGCGACGGCGTCGCAAACACTTGATTCTGATACCTGAGAGTGGCCTTAAATAAAGAATAAATCAAATAAAGTTTAAGATGAAGAATGCCACTGAATTATGTTTTAATAATGGCGCAAACGTTTTGGCACGAACTGTACTTGATTTTGGAATAATGCCCAATGCCTGCAGAAAAAAAGACCTTGCAAGGTTACGTCAATGAACTGCAAACAAAACTTGTCTGCAGAATAAAAAATAAATAATAATAGGCCAAAATTAAATGGGGCACGCGGTAGCGTAGTTCGTTGAGGCTCTATGCTACAAGCCGGAAGGTCGCGGGTTCGATTCCCGATGTCATTGGATTTTTCCAACTGATCTAATCCTTCCAGCAGCACCCTAGCCCTGACATCGACTCGGCCTTTAACAGAAATGAGTACCGCGAATCTTCCTGGGGGGTAAAGGGCG